TGATGAGTTCAGCACTTTTCCAGATCTCTGTATACATGAGTTATTTTTGGATGTTTGCCAATTTTCCTCCCGCTATTAGATGCTTTAAAAAATCTACATGGTACGCTTAGAATTTTTACTCAATTCTATTTTCAAGCTATACTGAGGAAAACACTACCTGGAGAAACGTTTCTTCAGTTTTAAATAGAAGTTTTTGTGAAGCGCATTTTGAAATGTTATCGCAGCTTGATGTTTTATTGTTCTCGCAGTTTTTAAATTAACTTACAAAATGACGAAAGGGATATTGAACAACATACATCTACATAATAATTTTAAGAAAAGTAACTTTTTTATGAGAGAAATAAAAATATTTTTAAAAAAACAAGTCTTATAATAGAAATTTCAAATAATTTTACCACGATTCAGATTATCTTAAAATTAATTAACTCGACCTTCAGTTCATTTATTATTTTTTTTTAATTTCAAATAATTTTAAGATAACTAAGATTTGCCCTTCAACCGTTTGATTAAAAGAGAACCCAGCATTAAGTCATCGGTATTGCTGTGCCACGCCTTTTCAACGCTAATCACATGGTATGACGTCAGAACACGTCATCGATGACTAAAACCAGGATTATTATGCCCGCCAAACTTTCCCTGCGCGGAATTATCCCACGCTAAGTCTTGGGTTTTCACACAGGTGCTCCTAGAAATTCTGCTTCCTTTCTAACTCGATATTTCATGCTACTAAATATAATATTTCAAAGAAAGGTGGTAGTTATTCATATTTCGTTTATTTGCTTACTGTTACGTCATTAAATGTGGCCCAACCTTTACATCAAAATAAATTAGCATTATCAGTTGAGAATAAAATAGTTTGAAAGTTAGGTATATCATCCGCATGCTGATTGTGAGCTGAAAAGCATAACCGGTCCATAAAGAATGATTTCAGTAGTTTATATCAAATGAGAACGAGCTAAGTAGGACAAGGCGGACGTTTCCAAAGAATACTAAAATGCAAGCTTGGATTCACAAGTAAGGAATGGCAACATAATGAATACACGTGTTTCTATTCGCATCTATAGCAAATGCGGTCATTTTTTAAGACTTGCACTAAATTATGTTCTACCAAAAAAAAGGGGGGGAGAGAGAGAATTCAACTGCATAATTGCAATAACATAATTTTGTGTGACTATGGCTAAGTTCTGCTTTTAATACACAACCAAGTTCAATTAATAAAAAGTATTTCAGAGAATATTCAACAGTGTAAGTTCTAAGCTAATGCAGAACCAAACTCGTACCTTTAAAACAAACATACAACTTAATGGATTGTTCCACAATGCTAAAAAAAAAAAAAAAAAAAAAAAAAAAAACAGCTTTATTAAATGATTCCAAAAGTAAATAGCAAAAGTATTCCATTAAAATGGATTCTTCACTAAATTTTTTAAACCAAAAGTAGACACTTTATGCAAATGCAAAAGTAAAAATTAAAAATCATCCAAATTAATGAAATGAAAAGTTTCTTTTAAAAGGTAATCTTTCCTAATAACTAAGCCTATCCGCCAATAATATATTTTTTATGAAAATTATAGAATTAAAAAAAATTAAATTGTGAATGCGCAAGATATATTTATTTCCAAATATACGTTACTCCACATTGGAACAATATTAAAATTGCGCGAAAGAGCAATCTCAGTTTGGCGTAGATTTTGATTAAATTATTGTTTTCGAAGGCGATCAGACACAGGTTTCTCTGCTTTAAAACCAGGAAAAAAAAAAAAGAAAAAAAAGTTGCTTTTTCTGTCAAATTTTAAATTGACGTGTTTTAGTTAAAAATTTATAATAAATAATTTATTATCAAGTGTAAAAGTGGAAATAACGAATTCAGAAGACTGCAAGAATAAGAAAGTAACGTCACAATCGTTGTTTTCAAAGAAGCAAATAAATGCACATTAACATGTCTTACTGTGATACTTGCTGAATTTCAATATCATTTTATTGTTCACAAATATTTTTAAATGAGCTAGAATTATTGGAGCTTCTTAAACATAACGATAGAAAATTAGTCAATGATTCCTTAAACATAACAACAGAAAATTAGTCAATGATATATTCGGGACTTAAAAATGACGGGATGAAGAGTCTAATACTTAGAACTGATCAAATTTCATAAACATCAATATGGCTCAAACTTTAATTTAAAAAAAAATATTAATAGTGTTATAAGCTTTTACAAAGTTTCTGTAGATTTTGCAATTCTGCAAATTCTACATTGATAAAATTGTATCATAGTATTTTAATAAACGTTTTTTAGATTACTTTTGCGTGTTCTGCTAATAAATACAATCAAAAAGTCAAATGTTACAGTTATTCTTTAAGGAACGGATTTTAAAGAGATATGAAAGATTTTCGGCCACGGACGACCAATCGTTTCGTGAATATAAGTTACTTCTCTACCCCCGAAGTCGCAATCGACTGGGGTGCATACTAAATGAAAATATAAAGTAATACGCTAATAAAATAATTAGATCAGCTCGCGATCGACGGGTTGACTAGCCCGTCCTACCTGAAGACTTAAATTACAAGACAATTATTGAGCAATAAATGATTTCAAAAAGAATTTATAACAAGATAAGTTTCGGGAAAAACTGATTTTAATGCTTTAACAAAAAATTTTATTTATTTTGACATTAGAATTTTTATTTCATTGTTTGTCCACAAAATTACTTTAACCACTGAAGCAACAAATGAATTTTTTAGCCATCGAGGAAAGACAGAAATAAATAACTTCTACTCTACTCTCAGGAAAATATAAAATAAATTTTTCACACAGATGATTGAAACACTTTCTGAAGGAATCATCTTCACCACGGAATTTGGAGCTTAGTTTATTTTCTATTTGAACTTAAATATAGATGTAAATTTATTCTTTTAATTTCTTTCTCAAATGAAAGTGATCAGTTTTAATTAGAAGATTCAGAAAATTGAAAATAAAGATAACTACATCCGCTATGTGACTATATCTGATATCCTAGTCTGTGAAACGTTATACATATATATATTTCAGCAAAAGTGTATATAATTTGAAAAATAAGAATTCAAGTTTTCAGAATATTGGAATAATATATTTAATTTCAAAATCTTTTTTAAACAAATGTAGTAGTTCTAATTTCAGATTTCAACAGTTATTTTATTATTTTATGTTATTTTAAATAATTTTAGTCAAAAGAACGTTTAAGATAATATTTCTGGTCACGTTTGTCTGAGCTGTAAATTGCTCCAATTAGTCGATTGTTAGTCTTTTCTTCGCGCAATAAAGTTATTTCAATATTTGAGTCATTATATGCTTTCATTCTTACTCTAGCTTTCTTAATTAACTGCGAAAGAAATCTAATGATGTAGCGTTAATAAAAAATTTGATTCATTCAATACCCTTATATCCTGGTGACCAAAAATGGCGTTTTACTCTGTATATCTTTCTACTGATGTATAATCGATAATTTAAAATTTAATCTTAGAAACCGTCGCATAAAACTTCCTTACCTGCTGCCACAATAGACAAGAACACAATTCCAAAGAAAAAAGAAATATAATAGCCTTTTGAAATCCGTTCTTTGAACTTAGTGAAATGGGAAACGCCTTATTAAAAAAATTCAGTTCATCAGCAAGAAATCCGTTACTTAATTTTTGTTTCTTTTGTAACTGACCTCAATTTTCCTTTATTTCCAACAGGTTTTTACTTCATCCCCCAATTTAAATGAAATATAGTTTTTCTGTAATCACTGAAAAGTTCTACTTTTTAATTAAATCCCTTTTAATCACTGCAAGCTTCGCAATTTTACAGTTTATCTACATTCAAAACAAATTAATTCATACCTTTACTAAATTCCGGTTAATATTATAAGCTCTTTAATATTATAATAGAGTATACGAATTACTATTTTTATTTGTAATAAACTAATCGATGTAATAAGCTACTTGCACTATTCCTTTATGTTCTCAATTTGAGTGAATAAAATAATTTTTAAAGCTATTTAGCACTTTAAAGTCCACTTATAACGCACCATCCACTTATTCATCTTATATTCATAATTTCAAAAATTCAGGATTTGCAATGCACGGAAGTAACGCACTAAAAAATTTTATTTTCTTATACATTACGAAGTTGAAAATACTACGAAATTATCAAGAATATTCTCATAAAAGAGTAACGATTCGATAACATTAATGAAAAAACGCTACAAGCACGTTAAACGGAAAAAAAAAAAAGAGGAGGATGTGGATGTGGATGCGGAAGAACAAACAATGTTGCTTTTCGAAATCTTGGAACTCCATTCGTTTTTCCCAAGCATAGAAAAAAGTATTGTCTTCAGATATGACATCATTATGATCTCAGATATGACATCATAAGAATATATTCTATTTTGTTAACTTAATGCATGTTCCTAAAAAAAACATAACAATGCTCTTTTTTCAGTCTATATTTTCGTTATATACATTTTTATCACATGCATTATTTTTTTCTAATTTCAAACTTAATTTATCATCAACGGAATCAAAAATATAAATAAACTACACAAACAATTACGTTAAAAAATAAGCATTATGCACAAAACATAAATATTTTTTTAAAAAGAATAATTTATTTTTTATATAACTTGTAAAAACTGTAACTTTCATTCACATTTAGTGAAAACATATTCTTATTATAATTCGACATTTTACTGCATTTGTGATTTATTAGCCTGATGCACTTTAGCTTAAGTCCGATGAGATTAAGAAATGAAACATTCTCGTTCTACATTTTGTAACCACCTAATCTTTACCTCACATATTTATCTATTTTTAAATAAAATTGATATTTACAGGATCGTTACCTAAAATAAAATACCCTGTTTCCTTCATCCTTAGTATACGATCATCATATCGATTGATCTGACAACGAAGAATCTGACAAGCCGGCTCAGTAGTTCATGTTTATGACAGTAAAACTAAGTCATCTTTGTAAAAAAAATACTTACTTGAATATAAGCTAAATAAGATGAAAATGGACACATATATTCCAACCGGTAAATCCATTATTAAGCGTGGAGTAATCTGCATTAGTTTTCCCCTTCGCACAACCTCACAACGGAACACAACAATCCCTTCGCAACTAGCGTACGCCTCATTCAAACGTAAACGCGGCCAACCAATGCGAAGGAATACATAAAGAACTTTGGGGTTGCCATTTTACTTTCCGTCGCCAAACGCACTGCCACGGGCATTACAGAAACCATACAAAATTGTTATGTTAGCATTCGACAAAATCGCATTTACATTCTGCAAAATAAAAAGTACAGAGTTTTTCATGTTTCTGTAGTTTTTTATCGTTACTTAGTTCCTAATAAATCCAACTTGTTGAATGAATATATTGATTTATTAGAAAATGGTGCAAAAAGGTAATTACTAAATGAGAATGTGTGTTACTAAATGAGACGAAAATGAAATTATTATTTAAAAGACGTGCAGATGTAATGGAGTTATACGAACTCAAAAATTGGTCTTACTGTAAAAAATAAATCTGTAAGCATAAATGCATTCTGTATTCATTTCCTATTCTTTTTTTCTTAAATCCAAGTTTCTGTAACAAAAATGAGAGTCAAGGGATAAAAGCAAATTTTTCAGAAGGAATTTTTCGAATTCCAGTTCATGAGAAATATTTATATTCTTGCAGTGTAAAACGCGCAAGTCCATCAAAAATCAAAATCGGGTTTTAAAATTTAAAAACTGACATAAATTTGTATCTTTCAGAATGAAACGTTCAATCAAAGAAAACCTTTATATATATATATATATATATATATATATATATATAACAATATAATAAACAGTATTCACTACGACGTATGTACTAATATGTAAACTAAATTAAAACGTGTAAAAGGTTGAAGATCTGAAACATCAGACTGCGCTCTAATACTTCAAAGTAGAATTTCTAATTAAAAATTTCCAGATTGTTTAAAATATTACAAATTTTTTTAAATGTAAGCGTCTAAAAATTGTTTGAAAGAATCTGTTTCAGTTACATAATATATGGTGCTAGAATTTTTTTTTTTTTTTTTTTTTTTTTTTAACTGCAACGAAGTTGTAGACTTCCAAAAATCTTTTCAGGTAAATAAAAAGACTAAAAAGTAAATAAAAAGGTATCTTGTAAGGTAAATGTATTTTAATTTGTTTTAATGAATTACATTATTAAAAAAGTAAAATAGAGGTTTAAATAATTATTAAGATATGTATTAATTTTTTTAAACTCTCAATGTCATTTAATAATATTCAATTTGTCAATTTATTAAAAGACTGCTTTGAAAAATATTTTTAAAATCTAATTTCTTGGAAAAGGATAGCATTCTGAGAATCAGCTACGTGTGATGAAGCATGGAAGATGAATTAAAGCCCTGAATGTTTCCACAAAAGTAACATTTGCTAAAGGTTGCTTCTATATTTTTGCCATTCTATTCATCCGTCAGTTTCCAAAGCATGATTGCAACTTCAGATTCTATTTTGCCAGGACATGATTTAATATGCTAAGTGAAAATAGTACAGTTGTATCTCGGTATATATCCACTTTGAAATACGTCAAACTTAGTATAAGTTCTCTGACTTTTCTATTTCGTTTTGGCATTTTGCGTCGAAAACTTTAAAAATCTGAATCACTTTTCAAATTATTGCCTCCAAATATTATCGACTTGTATTATATTTAAAGAAATTAAATAATGAAAAATATGCATAAGTGTATGTAAGTTTCTCGCACTGTAATAAAACAACCGTACAACAGCCATGAAATTTTGAATAACGTTCGTCTCCACCCGAATATCGTCATATGGTCATCTGAAGCCTTTCAGATTTTTTTTTTTTTTTTTAAATATGTATGACATTTGTATCGACGACTGCGTGAGCTGCACTTTACCTCTTTTGAGACTGCCCATAAATCTCAGACCGCTTGTTACTACAATTCAGTAAACAACCGGAGATATAACGCAAAACTTTCAAGTGATTTTGTGTTCTTTCGCTTGATTTTTTTTTTTTTTTTTTTTTTTTTTTTTTTTTCATTAGCAATGAATTTTAGAAAAGTTCATGAGAAAAACAAAGAATGAAGAAAATTGTTATGATCACCATGGAGGTAAAAAAGAGATGGTTGAAAAAGTATGACGATGGTATGTGTATCCGGGGCGCGTAATGGCAGACCGCACATTGAGTTGAACAGTGTTAAGCAAATTTCGCTTACTGCGCATGCTTGATGGTGCACCTTTGGCGCGGGGAGAAATATTGGCGACTAAGCAACCCTACGTTAGCTTATTCGTGATCTCCATGGCTGTCTAGTGTGTTCGAGTGATGTTTAAAATTGCAATGTTGGGGAACTTTGCTTATTAGTTATTTTAACGTCCACGCCGATTGCGCTTGCTTATTTTTCTAACATATGTTTCATTTTAATTTGTCACTAACAGTGCATTTAATATTTGTTAACATATGTTCGTAATCATTCCTTATTTAAATGTAATTTGTTTACATGTTACAATTCAGTAATTATAAACTGGAGCTTGTTTGTTAGCGTATATTCGCGCTTTTATTTTCTCATTTCAAAGAATTTAATAACTAGCATTAAAGAATTGTAAAATTTCTTCAGTGTTATTTGCAAGCACTTGTTATATTCCTCAGTGTTTCTTTATTTATGTACGAATGGAACGTATGGTAAATCCTGAATTGTTTTTATTGCTCAAAATTATAATGAATAAATTTTTAACTAATATATCCTAAATTACAGTCTTTTTCTGAACTAAAATTTTTACAGTTCCAAAGGAATGTGCAGAATTTCATAAGTATTATATTTTACATTTTGAATGTAAACACTGCGTCACATTACTTCGCAATAATTTCAGCTTTCTAGTTGTTTGAGCAGTAGAGCAAAAAATAGTATTTTAACACAGTAATTAATTTACATTATACTCTACGAAGATTTAAACGCCAGATTTGTTTACAATTAGATGGCGATACGTCTACCATATACCGTATTTATCTTCTTTTCAAATCGCGTCAACATAGTAATTACGCCAAATTGTTTTCTGGGCATGCGCAGTATGCGACATTCGTTTAACACTGTTCAACTCAATGTGCGGTCTGCCATTACGCATCCGGGGCTTGGCTGATGAAAATAGGACGCCAAGTACTATGGTGTCTACGACTGACGACGGGTAGCGTCAAAGCCGCCTGAAATAGGGTAGTGTCAATGCCGCCTGTTATCTTCAGGGAGCTTTGGTAGTGTACGAACTGCGCGAAATTTAATCCAAGATCCCCTTCCCTCTCTCTTATTGAATAGACGAACTGCGCGACTTTTTCCTGTTCCTCTTTCTAAGAACTTGAATTCCCAAGAAGATTGGGTGCTGCAAAAAGTCATTTATCGCCAGTAATGGTTCATTTTATTGAGACTGCGAGCCTCTATTTTCTTTTATCAATATTGTAAAAAATTGTGCATACAAAACAAATATTAATTTAAAGTCTTGCATCTGCTAAAGTAAAAATGAGTTTCTTTTACACTCATTTTAATGTTCTATGATGCTTAAAAGAATGATGAACCAGATCCTTTTTATTCTCTGTAAGAATTAAAAACTTTAAAGTTGTAGAATTTAGTCGCTGATATATATATCAGTTTTGAATATAATTGATAAGTTAATGACATACACAAAACTGATACATAATCAACCCATCAAATATCGAATTTGTAGCGCACCTTAAACAAATATCTTGTCTAAATATTAACAAATCTTCTTAGATAGCAGAATGGTTTTAACTTTCAAATTCACTATTTTAGGTAAAATGTTCTAATTTAATTTAAACAATTCTCTTTATTAAATCTAAAAATTGGATTTCTTAAGTGGTTCTAGGTTCACACTAATATTATTGCAATATATTGCCGTATTAAGCTTTCCATTTTTAGTCATTGAAGTTATTTTAAGGTTATTTAATTTTCTTACAAAGTCCATATTTTAATACTAGAAACGTTTAAATATTTATTCTGTTTTCCAGTTTCTCTACCTGATGTACTTTGGCATACATTTAATTTCTAATACACATTTAATTAATAAATTGATAATTATGAGCGTCTGCAGAATTTTCATAATTAACAAAAAAAAAAAAAAAAAAAAAAAAAAAAAAAAAAATCGAACTCCCTTATATTCATGTTTCGTGATTTTCAGTTCCCTTTTTATCCATATATTGTTGCACAGTATTCAAGTTTTCATGTATGTAGAATGTATATAATTTGTATTGTATTTATTCCAATTTATATTTAAATGATAATTTTTACAAATTCTTGCATCATAACTGTAGTTAACAGAAGATATTTCCAACACCTTGGTAAAGCTTAATCTTCAGCATGCAGCTTATTTTCTAACCTAGTTTCAGGTTGAATTATTTGTAAAATTAATTATTTGAAATTATTTGTTAACAAAGATGGTCGCTAAATCACGCTAATAATATTTCTAATAGTTGTAATTTATAATGCAACACATTCATATGATTTATAATAGAATTAATTTATAATTTTTTCAGCAGTATTGAAATTAATAGCAGCTACTAATTCAGAAGTCAAACAACAAAAATCAGCGTTACATTTACAAAATTTTTTTCACAGGACTAGTTTCGATGGTTTTACCGAACCACCATCTTCAGCTGCAAAACCGCAAATGAACCAAATAGGAAATAATGATTAGATAAGATAAGAAAGCCTGGACAAGAAAAAGCAAGTGGCGCCATCTGTTGGTGAAATCAGAACTAAAACATAATTTCTTTAAAGGCCGAAGGCAAATTTGGATTGGAATTAGGATCGTTAACTAGAACAGAAAGATTTTTATGAATGTGAAAGGTCTCTAGAAAATCCAGTTCTCCAATGGAAGATGTTTTTTGAATAATTTTAGTTGGTAGTTTGACCCGAGTTTCTAATCCCAGAGATCGCCCAGCTCTTTCTTTTTTTGCACTAATTTACTGTGTAAAAATTTCAGTTCATAAGGTAAAAATATTTTTTTTTAATTTATTCGTTAAAAATATTGCAAAAAATTTCACCTTAGCATATCTTTTTAAAATTCCTCTAATAAGAAAAAATAAGGAAAGAAATTAACTCGTATTCGATGATTGATATCTCGGTC